TTATAGCAACGCTATCTAATTAGATAAACACAACACTTTTTCTGCCTTCCTTGGCATATGTTCTAGTACAATTTATAAAAGTTTTGTAATGTGATTCTTTTATTATTTTTTTGTCAAAAGACAATCTACTAACACTAACGAAAAAACTAACGAAAAGTTAAAAGATGGGTCACATTATAACACTTTTGATACATTAAAGGTATAAAATAAAAAATTTAAAATCTTTAAAGGTATAAAGTGCAATTTGCTAGTTTTCTTTTTGGGGACTTACAACTGTAAAAAGCTCACATGGTGGAAAAGGGGGAGAATTTTGCAAAATTCCCATACCACCCTCTCTTTAGGACTGGTGATATACTTGCTTTGGGTCCAGTTGTTTTAAGTATGGTTGAGGTCTAGGGTTAGTGATGTCAATTTTTTCTTATCGTGTCATATTGGAATTGTATTATTTTATATTTGTATTGAGGATTAGTTACAATAACTCTAACCATTTAAATCATTGAAACACATGTTTTGATACAAACTCGACTTATTTATTGATTGTGTTATGTTTAGGTTGATGCGTTTAATGAGTAAACCCATCGAAGTACTAAGCACGAGATATTGCCAACTCAACATTGAAAATTTGTGTTTGAAACTAACTTGATCCCTTCGTCATTTGTGTTATAGATCGTGCAACTGTCATAGTTGCGTCCAGACCTACTCACTCATCACTAATTTCAAGTTACATTTGTATCGACCAAAGAATTAGTCATGCATTATCGTAATCATCATATTGCATGCCTAAGGTCAATGATGTCATTTTGAGAACATTCCATTCGTACATGATCACATTTTGCATGTTTATCTCTGTAGAGTTAGACACAAAGTATTTATCTTGCAATGTATCAAGAATAACTTTAAAATCCACAATATATTTTGGAACATTCCTTCAGTCATTTTCCCCATCTGCTGAACAGTGACAAGCACTACCATTATGCTACTATATATAGCCTCCAAGGCAGTCCAAGTTTCTCACAGCCAAGCTTCATACAAATCTTATCTACCTTAACAAGATCTTAACACCACCCGAGTCGAGTTATACGTTATTTAGATTCGACGATTAACCTTTTGATCTTATTCGCCTCAGCATTTCTTTCCTAGCTCCACATTCTTCTACTGTAGCAATGGATGCTGTGAAGAGGTTGGCTGAGGCAAACCCCGTGGTGATCTTCAGCAAAAGCTCTTGTTCCATGACAGACTACGTTGGGACACTGATACGCAATTTTGGGGCAAACACTACAGTTTATGAGCTCGATGGATTCCAAAATGGACAGCAAATGGAGAGGGCACTGCTGACATTAGGATGTAACCCGAGTGTACCTGCGGTGTTTATAGGGAATGAATTGGTTGGTGGTGCTAAGGAGATCACCAGCCTCAATGTCAGGGGAAAGCTTAAACAACGGCTCATAGACGCTGGTGCAATATGGGTTTAGAATGCAATACATAAGATCCAACTATAATACTATGTCAGTCCAATTATGAGTACTGTTTTGCTTCGGTACTAAAAGAAAATAGGCATGGTATAAGTAGTTATTGAGCCTCTTTGTGTAATAAGTTCCACGACTAGTTATGTGGTACTATTTGCATATGTATTTCTCTTATTAAATAAGAAATGTTGGAGAATAAAATGGAAAATAGTCCTCATCTTTAAGTATGTGATGATCTGTGACATGCATCGCAATGATCTTCAAATGCACACACAAATAGAGAAAGAGAATTATAACTCAAATTCGAACCATTACAACAATTTGTAATGGTTTTGATGATGGTTGTGATGGTTTATCAGACACAAAACTCACCAATTTACGTCCCACATCTTAATCAGATCGCTTGCACTCCTACTTCCTTTATCATTGAGCGGTTATTTAGGATTGTATCCATCTAGTTATATACATTATGGAGATTTTCTTACACTTTTTGTTATTTGCAATAGAACAACCAACTTGGTAACAATGTCTGATCATAAATCTCAATAATACCACGTATGGAGGACTTACAAGCTGATCATGATCAGTCGTTATTAGGTGTTATGGAATATTTTATCACACACTTTAAATCAAATAATGCTTAAAAAAAATATATTCTTGCATTAGAATTTTTTTTTTTTTTGCATTAGCAAATAAATAGTTAGGGACGGAACCAAAATTCTATCACAAGGGGAGTCAAAAAATAACATAGTTAAGAATTTTATTTTTCTGGATAAATTTGTTGTTAAGCGAAATTTATCAAAATTAATTCGCATACAATACCATTGTAATAATTAATTTCAATTACAAAATTCATTTATCAGTCTCACCATCATAGAAATGAGCTTGTGATAATGTGATGATCCTCTTATTCTCTCATTATAATATGATGTCATGATTTAAAAAAAATTATTTTCACAAATAATAGTTCGCAGAATACGATAATAAAAGTGTCATAAGTCATAACATTACTTTTTATATAATTCACTTTATAATTTAATTTTGCAAAAATTTCATAATTTTTTTTAAAAATTTTCTATAGTTATCATAAGACCACCACTCCTCTATAGATTGCATCCCCTATTTAACTATTAAATATCCATTCATTAGTCTTCTTAAATATAATAAGTAAATTGTCTATGTATAAGGTTTTTTAGAATACGTAAAACTTTTATTTCTTGTAGTGAAGGATGGGACATGTCCTGGTACTAGCAAGGTCGGGCAAAAAACAATTCACCAGACTATGCCCGCCCGGTCTAAATAAGAAAACAAACTTGTATTGATGGTTCATAGGAGTTACATCGCGATGACTACGAAAAATAGGGTACAAATCCCCTTCAATATTTTTTATTTTATTTTTATTTTTTATAAGTGAGTTTTAGGATTATATACGTTGAATTATCTACCCTTAAAGAAGATTATACAAAAACGTACTTGAGAGTATCTCACAAAAAATGAGAATCACACGCGAGTTATATATATTCACAGTGGATTGCATACTACGACAGATTTCTATCAATCAAAGATTTAGAGAATAAGAAATCTGGGCACAAGGAATATCAGATGATTGATATAAGTGAGTTGTCTTTATTCTGTATTCTGATACCACACTGTCTCAAAGAAGTTTCTCTCTTTTGCAACCCCAAAAAGCTGTGAAGTTTAAATTGAAGAACATAGATGGTCTTCAACATTTTTTCATTTACACACACAGAGAGAGACTTTAGTCGACGCGTCTACCTTAGGACATAATATGGAGTGTTGGGATTTAACACGATTTAAATCAACTAACAAACACATACAATCAAAGAACAAATCAAGAATATAAAGCAATAAGAAACAAGAAAGAACGAGACACAGATTTTACGTGGTTCGGCAATTTGCCTACGTCCACGAAGCTGTAGGAATTTCACTATTGAGAGAGTTGAATACCGAAAGCGGCTGTACAATCCACAATTAACTCTAATCACCAAAACAACAGGGTTTATATGTCCTACGCACTGGGCTGTATAACGGGCCCAAATCTTCGTTCCATGGACTAAGCCTCAGAAAATTTTTTATTAAAAACCACACAATATTACTTCGGGTCGAATCATCGTCCGAATCATATATACAAACTAGACTCCATAAAAAAAACCAACATGGAGTGCAAGGTCGAGTCCTAGCATGACACACGTACTAGATTAGTATTCCTAACCTACAATTTCCAGCTAACTACATGCATGCGGTTCTTGGGAATACTTTACAGATCATTACTTTAAGGGGTCCGGTAATGAAAACAACTTTTTGGTCTGTACCTCCGTTTTTCATCCAATAAAATTGTGGCATATATAAGCTTTTCTTTTTTCTTTTATTATTATTATTATTATTACTTTATATTTGGTATCTTAGACTTATCCTTATAAAACCGACCATATTGTGCCTAATTGGCAGTTTTCACATAGAATCGAAGGATCACAATGACATTACAACATAATTCATCACATTGTTTACTATACCAATCATGTGAGTTTTACCAAGGAATATCTCTGAGGCATAGATAGTCAGTTGAATAATTATGTAGAAGTGGGTAGTGTGGTAGGCCCTCAGGGTATCTTGTTCTTTTTCCTTCTTGTACGGACGTTACATGGAGTTTGTTATCTTGCTATACATGCTCTTAAGGATAAATTCTTTCCTTTAAAGTTCTCCACTTTCTGTCATTCTATGAATTGGATGCAAATCGATCTGTTGTGGAAGATGGTTGACCTAATTGGATAAACAAACACAATTTATTTTTCTCTTCCTCAACAAATGCTCCAATAGTAGTCTATAGAAGCTCCCCATCTCTGTTCGGTTCTATAAACCTGGAGATGTCGGATTTATAAAACCGGGAGGTATGTCAACTGATAAGATCTCAATGGAAAAAGTCCAGCAATTGCATTTTCAATAATGTTATTAGATAATATTAGCTATCACATCGTTAGGTTAGTAATTTAGGTTATATTTTTATGTCACAATAATATTACCCTAAAAGCCGATACAGTGGGGGAAAAACAGTAAATTACCCTACCATCCTTGATATCCATGTTCTTCCTTCCAATTGTTTTTATGTTTACCTTAAGGTAACACTTTTTGACCAAACACAAAATTAGTGGTTACAATTACTTGGTTCTTGATACGAATATGAAAATGACAGTTTAGTACATGTATTAAATGCATTTTTTTATTTATGGAGGACTAGTGTTCAGTGGGTTTAGTTTAGAAATTTTTGTTCCCGTGTTATACACGTCGATACAAATACAAAACATAAATATATGGAGTTAGTGTCATGATATCAATTACATAAGTCGAATCAGGATTAACCAACATTAAACGCGGACCCAAAATTATACCATCCGAGGACCTAACAAGCTGAGACTAGTTAATACCCAACTGGGAATGGTTAAGGTTAATAATTGCTAATGCATGTTTGTAAACATCATATAGACTAGGTAAGGTTTATGATGTCATTTTGATAATATGCTAATCTTGCTTGGTCACATTATGCATGTTAGTCCCTGTAGAGTGAGACACAGAAAGTCTCTATCAGGTAATGATCAAGAATAACTTTAAAAGCTTGTCACATTTTGCATGTTAATCCCTGTAGAGTGAGACACAGAAAGTCTCTATCAGGTAATGATCAAGAATAACTTTAAAAACCCACAACATATTTTGGAATATTTCTCGAGTCTTTTCTCCCATTTGCCATACAGTGCCAACCCACCACCACCTTCAGGCTAGTATATATAGACTCCATGGCAGGCCAAGTTTCTCACATCCATCACTAAATTCCCTTCACAGTTCATAAGCTTCGTACAGATCTTACCTTATCAATAACTCATCCAACCCGACTCAATTTCGTCACTGACTTAATATTTTGCTACCATCTTCATTTTTTTCTGTTTCCAGTGATGGATGATGTGAAGAGGTTGGCAGAGGCGAATCCTGTGGTGATCTTCAGCAAAAGCTCTTGTTGCATGACGGACTACGTTGAGAAGCTGATACGCAATTTTGGGGCTAACCCTGCAGTTTACGAGCTCGAAGTAATGGAAAATGGAAAACAAATGGAGAGGGCACTGCTGTCTTTAGGATGTAACCCGAGCGTACCGGCGGTGTACATCGGAAAGGAATTGGTTGGGGGTGCTAAGGAGGTCACCAGCCTCAATGTCAGGGGAGAGCTTAAACAACGGCTCATAAACGCCCATGCTATATGGGTTTAGGACACACTATGTAGGACCCAGCTCTAATACTATGCTATACTTATAGGAGAGGTATAAGTAGTTATCGAGCCTCTTTTTGTAGTGAAAACTACAAAGTTCAATAACGAGTTATGTATTTTTCTTACTAAATAAAGTTATATATTGCGTTATACTGGTTTTATTATCATATAAGCACACTGAAAATGATGGAGAAACTGAACATTATCTAATCATCAGAATATAACAACAATATATAGCACACTAGGGAAGATCACATGACTTACAAGCTGAGAATTACTATATATTATCTAATTATTCGTATAATCATGTGACTTTTTTTTTAACAACAAAAAAAAAAAAAAAAAAAGAAAGGTTGAGAGCTACTATATATTATAATCGCATCATTCTATTTGTCTATCAGGTGGGTTAGCAACGACGGTTCTTATCAACTCATAACGGACCATTTTTCTTCCCTAAAAACAATTGAACAACAACATATCTAATCATAAATCTCACATAATGCTATGTATAAGAACAAATGGATTATGGAGGACTTACAAGCTGATCATTATCAGTAACAAAAATTTGCATATAAGGCACCAATTTCTGTCTATGAAGATCCATATTTGCAGTCACGCGATAATATATTTCAAACTTAATGCTAAACTGACTAAAAAATATGAGCAAAAAATAGATCTCAGGATCGAAAGCATTATTATTGAAGAAAACATGCCCACAAAACATACGATAAACCTGGAATCATGACTCTCGTGGATCAAGGATGGAACTATGGTGTGATTCCGTTGAAGGGGAGATCCGCTATCAATCAAATAACTGTAATGGGTCCCAAAATTTGTTGAGATCTGCTATCAATCCGATCATTGTACTCGATTAAGTCAATAAATTAGATCAAAAAAATATTATTGGTTCAAATTTTGGACCCTGATACTTGTTGGTTTGGTTCCTGTCTGCTTCTATACTAGTATGCTATGCCACATCAAGCAATGCCGTGACAATTTACCATATCTGTATCTGAGAAGCTCTATAGTTGAGAGGGTAAAATCACATGAAAGCCAAAGTTGAGAGAATCAAATTGTAATTTTTCAAAACATAAATTTTTTGTTATTTTTTTGTTTGCTGCTGTTTTTCGGTAAGTGATATAAAAGAATTTATATTTGTGATTCACGAGTTAGAGCAATGGCAACCTCGGTCTACCAGCAAAAACCGAGCAATGTCTGTGCTTTGCTGGCTGTTTTGTTTTTTTTTCGAAAGATAAAAATTGTATAAAGAAATCATAAAATGTACATATGAGGCCACACCTTTGACAAAATACATTAGGCAGCAGCAAAAGTGTACAACAAAATAAATAAGAAGATGCTCTTCGAGACAGAATTTCGAGGGAAGTATAGGTATTAAGCCAGTACTTCCAATTGAATCCTATTTCAATGGAGTATCTCTTGACCCAAAAAACCTTTCATGACACACTAAAAATTGCTTCAGCAGTCACCTTAGCTACCTCAGCTCATAGGATGGGAAGAATTCTTCACATGATGGAGACATGTAATGGACCCAGTTCCTTTGTCACAAACTCTATGCATTTGGGCATTGAGTTGGTAATTGCCATTGCATTGCTAGTTGCTACCTACTGTTTATGTTGACAATTTTTGAACCTCGGTGAAGCCACTCTGTTCCTAGTGACCAGCGGTGTTGAATATTGGTCCATCAACTAATTCTTAAAGATCATGTTGTTCCTCTCCCTCCTTAGGTAGTAGACAGTAGTTTGGAGGCCTAATTTCTTTGACACAGTCAATAAAGACTTGCCTTTCCAATGTAGTGCAGCCCAATGAATAAATTCTATCTAGGATGTATATTGACAAGTTTAAGAGTTCATAGTCATTAGCTTGTTACAAATAACATGTGAAGAAGAGTAATCAAAAAACAAGTGAGAGTGTGTCTCAGCAGGCCCTCTACAAAGAATGTAGTCAACTCCCACATTAGAATTGAATAATTGTATCCTATCTTTTGTGCTCAATCTCCCTTTAACAGTCATCCACATGATAAAACTCATTCTAGGGATTGACTGCTTAAACCACACAAGCTTGAACCAAGGCACTTTTGGATTGGAGCTCCTGACGGTTTCCCAAGCAGAACCGGCTGTGAACCTCCCACTTGTGCCAGGATTTCATTTAACCCTATCCTCTCTTGCTTGGTTAGGAACATATGTTGGCATTGAGCTGGCTATTTCCCTGATTTCTGCAGTTGTGGCTCTAGGCCAATGCCATTGATTGTTGGTTATGATGCAACTCACTTTTCCTTCCCTGGCTGCTTTTTATTTGCAATTGTTTAATATGTGAACTTTGAAAGGAAGCCATGAAACTTGAAAGGACACAGAGAGAATTTGTTTTTTTTTTTTGGTCAAACAGAGAGAATTTGTTAGGTTTCGTGTGCACTCTAGCTATCAGAACCAAGGTTGAAAGGATCGGTCGATACCGATACGATTGCTTAAGTTGTATTCGACTCCATACTTTTTAGGATAATATGGTTTTACGTTATTTGTAAAGTTCTATTTACCTTGGCACCATATGATACTATTTCACATTATGTATAAATCCCTATTACCAAACGATTCGGCCAAATCCTCTAAAACGTCTACAAGTCAATCCTGAGTCAACTTTAAATTGTCTACTTATAATTACCAAATCAGTTGATACACTTTCACCGTGTTACGATATGACTTGAATTTCTCACTAAGTTCAATTTTTTCTTTTAGGTAATACCACTTAATACTATTCTGTGCACTACGACCAGTATGTCTCAGCACCCTCCAAGTCTCTAGCAAATACCGCAACCTCAAACCATGGTCAAAACTAAATTTCACACAAAAAAAAAAGCATAAAAAAAAATGTGGCTCCCAAATGGATTCCCATTCAATTTGGACGCATATCACCATGTGACAGGATAGATTACGAAAGAGCACGGGTAAGTGATATTTTTAACTCATTTGATCTCGATTTCACTTTGCCTTTAGAAGTGTTGGATTTGTCTTGTTACATCCTTCAACTATGAAAGCAGTTTCACATTGTCTCAAAGACAAATGTATGTCACATTTTAACGAGAAATTCTACCTATCAGGATAAATTGAAATAAAATCACACTAAGTCAAGAGTAAAGTGAGAAATTTTTATCAAATTTACAACCAACGTAAATCATTAAGAACATCTGAAGTTGATAACTGTTGTTGAAGGTAAAATGAAAAAGTTAAGTTAATTGAGAGGAGAATATGAGGAGCAATGCTACATGGATTTAAAAAGTAGACTTAAAAACTAGACTTGATAATCTCAACTATGGATTTTACTGTAGGTTCTAGTATTTATTGGGACTCACTACCTATTCAATAGTTGAGATTATCAAGTTTAATTTTTAAGTTCATCTAACATTACTCTAACAAGTAAGATTTTGAAGAGGAGAGAGGAGAGAGAGTGCCACGAGAATACTTTAAAAAAAAACATGTATTATCTGATGAAATGTGTTCGTTCTATAATTTGATGTCACTGCCCGAAGGTAGGGCTGATGATTGAGTTTAGTTTGTGGAGCTTATTTTTTTAAACAAGCCTAAAATATTATTTATGGTCAGTCATTTTATTCTAACCGAGCCTAAAATGAGTCAAATCTGAGTGGTTCGACTAATTTACGTATAACCGAGTTAAGTTTTGTGAGTTTGAGCCGAATTTTTTTAGGCTCATTTTTCTAAATGAGCATAAAAAATTGTTTAAACTAGATTCATTCGAACCAAGTCCATATGAGTCAAACCCGAGTAATTTGACTCAATTATAAGCCCTCCCTGAAAGAAGTCCCTCTGTTTTGCACTCAGGAAAAGAGGTTAAACTTTAAAGCTTGAAGGTGAAGTATACAGATGCTCCTTAGGTTTTATTCTTTTGTTTTCTTGATAGAGAGAGGGAGAGAGAGAGGTGACTTTTGTTGATGCCTCTGCACTAAAATATAAAGTGGAGTGTGAGGTCGAGGTCGAGTCCTAGCAGCACATACGTACTAGATTAGTATTCTTGACGATCGAACAAAATTCCTTGCAAATTGCTTCTGTGTCCCTTCCTCATTTTTGTTCATAAGTGAACATATATGGATCTGGGGCAAAGCCTTGAGATATGTTATGTGGATCCGATACTGTGGGTAAGGCATAAGAACAAACCGATCTCCCTCTTCATGAGGAGGGTGGGACTTGATCTCTCTCCTCTCAGGAAAGTTAGAATCGTGCTCGGGTTCCACTTCATTCTCATGTCGACTTCTACCATTCACAATGCTATATGATTGTCAAATTCTCTGTTTGAAATGAGTGTCACATCTAGTTCAACATCAGGAAACTACAAATGGGAGTAATTTTTTTTTTTTTTTAATTTGTGCAAGTTGGATAGTGCATGGATAAAAATCCGCCAATAGTTAAAAGATGTCAAGATGCGCCCCTAGTCTTCGAGTATCATCTAATCTATGAGCTGCAAGGTAAAAAGAGGTTAAAAGGACCCCAGCGTTGAGCCTGGGGAGGCCCCTCCGAGGTTGATTTCTAGCATCACACATGTATCAGATTAGTATTCCTAAGATACAATTTCCAGCTAATTACATGCACACGGTTTGTGTGAATTCTTTGCCTGTCATTATTGTAAAGGGTCTAGTAACGAAAAAAAACCTTTGGGTCTGTATCTATGTTTTTCATCCAATAAAATCGTGACATGTATAAGCTTTTCTTTTCTTGTTTTTCTATTATTATATATTGCTTTATGATTTTTACAATCAATGATTACAAAACAATGAATCTACAATTTAAGACTATGTATCAATTTTAGTATGGTACTAAAAATTTTTTGGGCCTATCGTAGACTTATCCTTATAAAGCAGACCATATTGTGCCTAATAGGCAGTTTTTACAAAGAATCGAGGGATCACAATGACACTACAACATAATTCATCACATTGTTTACTATACAAATCATGTGAGTTTCACCAAGGAATAT